GTCCGCCCAGCCCTCTCTTTCTTGCTTAATCTTTGTCACCTGGTCGTAGAATTCTATCAAGCCTGTAAGGCAAGATTTACCCTCCCTGAACCAATGTTGGCGATTTGTCACGAAGTCCCTTCTCTCCAGATGTGTTACCAGGTTTTTTCTCACAATCTTCTCTATCACCTTGCATGGTATACACGTCAAGGACACTGGCCTGTAGTTCAGTGCCTCTTGCCTGTCGCCCTTTTTGTATATTGGGACCACATTCGCCGTCTTCCATATTTCTGGTAGGTCTCCCGTCTCCAGTGACCTATTATACACTATGGAGAGTAGCAAGCAAAGTGCTTCTGCACACTCTTTCAGTACCCATGGCGAGATCCCATCTGGACCAACAGCCTTTCTAACATCCAGATCCAACAGGTGTCTCTTGACCTCCTTTCTCGTAATTTCGAACCCTTCCAAGGCCGCCTGGTTCAATTCCCTTTCTCCTAGCACAGTGACCTCACCTTGTTTTATTGTGAAGACCTCCTGGAACCTCTTGTTGAGTTCTTCACGCACCTCTTTGTCATTCTCTGTATACCTGTCCTCGCCTGTTCTAAGTTTCATTACCTGTTCTTTCACTGTTGTTTTCCTTCTGATGTGACTGTGGAGTAGCTTTGGTTCGGTCTTGGCTTTGTTTGCTATATCATTTTCATAACTTTTCTCTGCTTCTCTTCTCACCCTGACATACTCATTCCTGGTTCTCTGGTATCTCTCTCTGCTTTCTGGTGTTCTGTTATTCCGGAAGTTCCTCCACGCTCTTTTGTTCAGTTTCTTCGCTTCCATACATGCCCTATTATACCATGGATTCTTATTTTGCTTCTCGGATTTTTCCCTTTGGGCCGGGATGAACCTGTTTACTGCCTCCTGACACTTTTGGGTAACATAGTCCATCATACCCTGTACAGACTTGTCTCTGAGGTCTGTGTCCCAAGGTATTTCCCTTAGGAAACTTCTTGTCTCCTCATAATTTCCCTTTCGGTATGCCAGCCTTTTGTTTCCTAGTTCTTTTTTGGGGGAGATAATTCCTAGCTCTACCAGGTACTCAAAGATCAATACACTATGATCACTCATTCCCAAGGGCGCTTCCATCTTAACTTCCCTTATATCCCACTCATTTAGGGTAAATATCAAATCAAGCACAGCTGGTTCATCCTCTTCTCTCATTCTTGTCGGTCCATGGATGTTGGCTTACAAAGTTTCTTGTTGCTACACCCAGGAGCTTAGCTCTCCTTTTGTCCGGTCCTCCATGTGGGTCTCTGTTCTCCTAATATATCTTTCCATGGTAGAAGTCTTCCTTGATTAGAAGTCTGGATCCATTCCTGCTAGCTACAGAAGCTCCTCTCTCTGTTATATTGATGGTGGCCATGTTGTTTCTATCATATTCCTGTCTGGGTCTTCTGTCATTTGGTGGTGGGCTATATATGACTACGACTATAATTTTTTGTCCTCCAGTTGTTATAGTACCTGCTATGTAGTCACTGAAACCTTCACAGCCCTGAATACCCATCTCCTCAAAATCCCAGCCTTTTCTTACCAGCAGAGCTACACCACCACCACCACCTCTTCCTTTTCTCTCTTTCCTCATAACATAATAGTCCTGTAGGAACACTGCATTTGTTATGGTTATTTAGCTTTGTTTCTGTGAGTGCTATTATGTCTGGGTTTTCTTCTAGTACCCCATTCTCCAAGTTCATTTGCTTTATTTTTAATTCCATCTATGTTAGAGTACATTACCTTGAGGCTCACTTTCTTCTGTCCCTTCTCAAATCTCCTCCTTGGTGAATGTTCTGCTGGTGGAGGAAGCTGTGCCATGGGTGTGAGGATTTGTGATTTATTTTGGATAACAGGGTCTCAGAGGATACTGAGGTGAGGGGTGGGGGTCAAGTGAAGGTGGGGGGGGCAGGGAGGGTATGGGATGAAGGGGGAGGGAAGACAGGAAGGAAGAGGGGGAAGGGGGGACATGGCAGGAGGAGGGGAGGGGTAGCAGGGTGGGAATGGGGTGTTGGGGAAGGGAGATTTGGCTGAGCATTTGAGTGGGAGCAGGGAGGGTTTGGGGTAGGGGGGTTTTCTATGCAGAGGAGGGTGGCGGGTTTGTCCTCCCCTCTGGTGTTACTGGGTAGCTGGTTGTGGGTTCCCCCCTCACCTCTGGGGATATTGTGTTGGGAGCTGTGATTTCCTGGTTTTCCCCTCTCACCCTGTGCTTCCTCCTTGCTTCTGCCGCCACGGCTCTCTCCTCCAACGTCATGTCCCTCTGGAGGAATACTTTTGTGTGCCGGAGAGTGTGTACTCACCTAATTGTACTCACCTAATTGTGCTTGCAGGGGTTGAGCTCTGGCTTTTTGGTCCCGCCTCTCAACTGTCAATCAACTGGTGTACAGATTCCTGAGCCTACTGGGCTCTATCATATCTACATTTGAAACTGTGTATGGAGTCAGCCTCCACCACATCACTTCCTAATGCATTCCACCTGTTAACTACTCTGACACTGAAAAAGTTCTTTCTAACGTCTCTGTGGCTCATTTGGGTACTCAGCTTCCACCTCCTCCATGTGTGCGTGTGCGTGTGTGTGTGTGTGTGTGTGTGTGTGTGTGTGTGTGCGTGCGTGCGTGAGTTTTGTTACCTCAGTTCTCTCTGTGTTTGATTTTCTTACTTGTTGTTGTTGTTGTTCATAATCTTCTCGTTGCAATTGTTGTTAAGTTGTTGAAGTTGTTAAGATAGTTGTTGAGTGTTAGTGTTGTTGTTGTGGGAGCCTCAAGAGCAACAAACACACGGGTGCCACAACTCGGTGCCAGAGTGCCAGGCGGCCCATGGTGCCAACACAGCCCCTCCCTTGACTAAAAATACTCTGACTTTGGCAACTCGTCGTGGCAACCCATGCTGGCAACTCGTCGTGGCAACCCATGCTGGCAACTCGTCGTGGCAACTCATTCTGGCAACTCATTCTGGCAACTCGTTGTGACAACCCATTCTGGCAACTCATTCTGGCAACTCATTGTGGCAACTCGTTGTGGGAACTCATTGTGGCAACTCATTGTGGCAACTCATTGTGGCAACTCGTTGTGGCAACTCGTTGTGGGAACTCGTTGTGGCAACTCATTGTGGCAACTCGTTGTGGCAACTCATTGTGGCAACTCGTTGTGGCAACTCATTGTGGCAACTCATTGTGGCAACTCGTTGTGGCAACTCATTGTGGGAACTCATTGTGGGAACTCATTGTGGAAACTCATTGTGGCAACTCATTGTGGAAACTCATTCTGGCAACTCATTGTGGCAACTCATTGTGGCAACTCGTTGTGGCAACTCATTGTGGCAACTCGTTGTGGCAACTCATTGTGGCAACTCATTGTGGCAACTCATTGTGGCAACTCATTGTGGCAACTCATTGTGGCAACTCATTGTGGCAACTCATTGTGGCAACTCATTGTGGCAACTCATTGTGGCAACTCATTCTGCCAACCCATTCTGGCAACTCATTCTGGCAATCCATTTGTGGGGAAATTCTTCCATATATATATATATAAATGAATTTTGGAGAATTGATTTTTGAATTACCACCAACAGTGAAAAGAAATGTACGAAAGATTGAGAAAATTCGTGTTAGAATTATTAATCTTACTTTTTCGGTCATATTTAATAATATATGTCTACAGGAAAGACTGCTACCAATATATATATATATATATATATATATATATATATATATATATATATATATATATATATATATATATATATATATATATATATATGTCGTACCTAGTAGCCAGAACTCACTTCTCAGTCTACTATTCAAGGCTCGATTTGCCTAATAAGCCAAGTTTTCCTGAATTAATATATTTTCTCTAATTGTTTTCTTATGAAATGATAAAGCTACCCATTTCATTATGTATGAGGTCAATTTTTTTTATTGGAGTTAAAATTAACGTAGATATATGACCGAACCTAACCAACCCTACCTAACCTAACCTAACCTATATTTATAGGTAAGGTTGGGTTAGGTAGCCAAAAAAAGCTAGGTTAGGTTAGGTTAGGTAGGTTAGGTAGACGAAAAAACATTAATTCATGAAAACTTGGCTTATTAGGCAAATCGGGCCTTGAATAGTAGGCTGAGAAGTGCGTTCTGGCTATTAGGTACGACATATATATATATATATATATATATATATATATATATATATATATATATATATATATATATATATATATATATATATATATATATATATACACAAGAAGGTACATTGGGATTGTGAGGATACATAGTATAGTATTTACAATCTTGTAAAGCCACTAGTACGCGCAGCGTTTCGGGCAGGTCCTTAATCTAAGAAATTGAAATAGAAATAAGTTTATTGAGGTAAAATCCACACAAAGGGATGAGGCAGCTCTAGCTATTCTCACCCCGTTCAGTACATCGTGTTAATACATACATAGACACACATCACAAACAATAAACACATTACCAAACATTCTGAGAGATAAACATATACATTTCCTCCTTCACACAAGTAGTATGGTATCAGACGTACACATGAATACTTTTATGATCTATGTATACTGTATAATCTAAGAAAATCTATTTTTTGTATAATTTACCTATTAGAATAATCTATATACATCAAGAAAATAATTTCTGTTGTGTATAATTATTAAAATTAATATTTTTGCATAATAGAATTATAATTAGAGAATTAGTATATACTTCCTCACTTATTAATGAGAAATGCGACTGCTCTTTCACCCCAAAACATTGAGGAACTGCTAATTTACGTCTGTCTGTCTATAAACATTTAATGTGTACAGTCTTGGGACTGATTAATGCATATATATATATATATATATATATATATATATATATCAGATAAATTGAACTTAAACTTATCATAAAGAATTTCAAATTAATATTCACTCCTTCCCTAAATGTATAAATTATAACATATAGAAAACGGGTCACCGGGCAGGAGAAGCCGCCATTACAACTCCATGGACGGGACACATGGACGGAACACATGGACGGGACACATGGACGGAACACATGGACGGGACACATGGACGGGACACATGGACGGGACACATGGACGGGACACATGGACGGGACACATGGACGGGACACATGGACGGGACACATGGACGGAACACATGGACGGGACACATGGACTGAACACATGGACGGGACACATGGCCGGGACACATGGACGGGACACATGGACGGGACACATGGACTGAACACATGGACGGGACACATGGCCGGGACACATGGACGGGACACATGGACGGGACACATGGACTGAACACATGGACGGGACACATGGACTGAACACATGGACGGGACACATGGCCGGGACACATGGACGGGACACATGGACGGGACACATGGACGGGACACATGAACGGGACACATGGACGGAACACATGGACGGAACACATGGACTGAACACATGGACGGGACACATGGCCGGGACACATGGACGGAACACATGGACGGGACACATGGACTGAACACATGGACGGGACACATGGACGGGACACATGGACGGGACACATGGACGGGACACATGGACGGGACACATGGACGGAACACATGGACGGAACACATGGACTGAACACATGGACGGGACACATGGACGGAACACATGGACTGAACACATGGACTGAACACATGGACGGGACACATGGACGGAACACATGGACGGAACACATGGACGGGACACATGGACGGGACACATGGACTGAACACATGGACGGGACACATGGACGGGACACATGGACGGAACACATGGACGGAACACATGGACGGGACACATGGACGGGACACATGGACGGAACACATGGACGGAACACATGGACGGGACACATGGACGGAACACATGGACGGGACACATGGACGGGACACATGGTAAATGACTTTAATTCGTGATTAATAATTCTAAAATCACAAAATAATTAATTCAAATTAATTAATTAATTAATTAATTAATTAATTAAATTAATTAAATTAATTAATTAATTAATTCACAAAATAATAATTCAAAATCACAAAGGACTTTAATGTTCCATATATATTGAGCTAATTAATTTATTACTTAGGGTAAATCATATACTTAACAAAATTATTGATTAATTTGTAGTTGCTTAACCTTTTGTGAGATGTTATCCATTCCTAAAGGGGAGCCGGTCGGCCGAGCGGACAGCACGCTGGACTTGTGATCCTGTGGTTCTGGGTTCGATCCCAGGCGCCGGCGAGAAACAATGGGCAGAGTTTCTTTCACCCTATGCCCCTGTTACCTAGCAGTAAAATAGGTACCTGGGTGTTAGTCAGCTGTCACGGGCTGCTTCCTGGGGGTGGAGGCCTGGTCGAAGACCGGGCCGCGGGGACACTAAAAAGCCCCGAAATCATCTCAAGATAATGACCACACCTGAGGATGAGGAGGAGACCGCCACGTTCGTCTTGATCCGTTAATATCAAGTCTTTATTCATATTGGTGGTATTTTATTTTCGCGAAATTGTAGCCAATAAATATATATTAAACCTCAAGTTTTTTTGTCCAACCACTTGGGCTGGACGGTAGAGCGACGGTCTCGCTTCATGCAGATCAGAGTTCAATCCCCAACAGTCCAAGTGGGTGGGCACCATTCCTTACCCTCATCACGTCCCAAATCCTTATCCTGAGCCCTTCCCAGTGCCAATATAGTCGTAATGGCCTGGCGCTTTCTCCAAGATAATTCTCTCCCCCAACTTTGTGTGGATATATTTGTGTGGACTTTAATCATACAGTCCACTGTGTTTAAAATTAAAACCGATACAGTCCGCTTCAATTACTAAATAAACATAATTGCTAAATCAATTAAAACCATTTATCAAATTTCCTCCCACAAGTAAAGTACCACTTTTTTGGGGGTCACTACGAACCAGATAAGATTCTTTTGGACCTTCATACCAAGATGGTCTTTTAGTCCATGACCTGGACCACCTAGACCATTCTTACGGACCACTCAAATTAAATACTGTATAATTGTTTTAGCCCGTCGAAAATATTTCGACGGGTTTTGCTCAAAAAGGCCTCAACACACACACGTCAGTGCACGAGGCTACTGGAACTATTATATAACTACAGCATCAGTAATTGTTCTGAACCTCATCACAGGGAAGTAACCGACGCCAGGAACATACGCAGTTCAGATACGTGCCGCCAGGATGTCATGGGTTCGAATCCTGGCCGGGGAGGATTTACTGGGCGCAATTCCTTAACTGTAGCCTCTGTTTAACGCAACAGTAAAATGTGTACTTGGTTGTAACAACGATTCTTCGCGGCAGGGGATCGTATTCCAGGGACCATAGGATTAAGGACTTGCCCGAAACGCTACGCGTACTAGTGGCTGTACAAGAATGTAACAACTCTTGTATATATCTCAAAAAAAAAAAAAAAAAACAAAAAAAAACAAAAAAAAATGTAGTTCAGATACGTGCATATTTAGTATAGCGTGTGTTGCTCCTACAGATGGCGCTGTTTTTCAAAACAAGCATGTGTTTACCTGTCACAGGTCAACCCATTCTTGCACTTTCGTATAGTCAATATTGACTTATTAAATACGTGTATATGTGACATACTTAACATACTAGTTTACCTTGAAAAGCTTCATAGAAAACACCGACCTTACCTAACCTTCTTAGTATGTTAAGATAACATCTTATTGCTTCTTAATTACAATTATTACTTAACCTATTATAGGTATAGGTTAAGTAATAATTGTAATTACGAAGCAATAAGATGCTTAACATACTAAGAAGGTTAGGTAAGGTCGGTGTTTTCTATGAAGCTTTTCAAGGTAAACTAGTATGTTAAGTATGTCACATATACACGTATTTAATAAGTCAATATTGACTGTAAGAAAGTGCGAGAATGGGTTGCACAGGTGTGGCATCTAAATTTATTCTCATGAAATAAACGGTATGGTAAAAACACAGCTCAATTCCAACACAATGTCACATAAAATATTTAAATCAAAATGAAAATAAATCGAAATCTATGAAAATTCAATTTATCAATGCAATCAGAAACATTGAAATGGAATCATAACATATTTAGTGTAGCGTGTGTTGCTATTAGGTGCAACAGATGGCGCTCCTTTAAAAAAAAGCATGTTAATACCTGTCACAGGTATGATCTCTATATATTAGGTTTTTAAAAACACGTGCATAATCGAGTGGAAAGTTGTGTCAAAATTTCAAAGAAATCGGTGAAAAACTTTTGGAGATAACAGCGTGTGTTGCTCTTACGTCCAACAGATGGCGCTGTTTTTCAAAAAAGCATGTTTTTTCCTGTCACAGGTGAGGCGTGTATATAGTAGGTATATAAAAACACGCGCCTATTCGAATGCAACGTTGTGTTAAAATTTCAAAGCAATTGGTAAAGAGGTTTCGAAGATTTCCTCTCGTGAAAAACACATGAAAAAAATAATTTGTCAAAAAAGCATGTTTTTCCCGTCACAGACTCGACACCTCTATATTATGTATAAGAAAAACCCGCTCGGATGCGAATGGAACGTTGTGTGAAAATTTCAAAGCAATCGATGAAGAACTTTCGGAGATTAGCGATTTGAACAAACAAACGAACATTGGTGAACTTACAGGTACAGATTGCTATCACATATACATCACTGGACAAATTTAATTGCAGGGAATGAACCTGCAACAGTTCGCTGGGGGTAAAGTACTTACAGGCCCAGTATTGAGTCTTAAGAGGCCACATCTGTGGACCATAAACAAATAAATTAAGTGACGGTTGCGTGACTAGGCGAACAGCGGTAGCCACAAACTTTGAGAGACATGACTGAGGATAAGCTTGATTCCTCTGTACACAAATTATGGGACCAAGCGACAATAGGCTTCGTCCCTGAACAACCAAGTCCTGATGATGATTGGAATTATCACCGTGTTTGAATTCCTATAAAGATTGGGTATTAAGCAGAGCTTTCTGTGTACTCTTAAGTACTGGGTCAAACAAGCCCAAGTACAAACCTATAGTGAGGACTATGAAAACTTCGTACCGAAAAACATAAATAACTTAAGTTGACCAAACCACACTCTAAACATTTAAGAGACGACGATTTTTTATTGTTGCCGCGAGAGGCGGCTAGTTTATTGTGCACCCCATACTCATCCTGTGAGCGGTAGCGCAACAGCATTACAGAGGGCACAAAAGGTCTTTATCAGACCTCATCTTAGATTATTACATAAACAATTTCATCTATCCTTCACACCTTATAGTTACAATGTCAGCTAGTTACAGAGAAAGTGCTATTACAAGAGCTACATATTTACAGTAAGTCATCATACATTAATGGTAGGTCTTATCGCTAATACATAATAGTTTGACCAATGGGGATATTACAGAGTCATAGGGGAGCTTCTGTTTATTATTAGTCCTCACAATACACTACTTGTTTCTGAATCTCATATGTCGTTTATCTACTGGAAGCGAAATATGGATACAGTGCAAGGATTTCAGGTAATTTATCCATGGTAATAAGATAGGTTGCCATATCATACAACGTGAGCTTAGATTTATCTCTAAATGGCTCAATTTTACTACAATCCAAGATATAGTGTTCGAGTGTGTGTCCCTGCCTATGTCCACACACTTTACTTCATCTACGTTTCGGTCCGTCCTGGACTATTTATTATCAAGCCGATTGTGATGAGACGAGGGAGGCATGGGAATCTAATTGCCTCATTTCTTTTCCTGATTTTCACGTTCACAGCTCTGTGTCCGGGTTCTCTTTCTCTGTCTACCGTAAACCCATGCATAGTGGCATGTACATTCACTTATTTTCCTACCATCCTCCTTCTGTTAAGAAAAGTGTCCTCGTCTCTCTCTTCCTCCGCGCTCTACGCCTCAGCGACCCTCAGTTTCTTGATTCTGAAATTTTCTTTATCTACAAATCATTCTCTCGCCTTGGTTATCCTTTGCATTTCATCAACTGTGCCCACTCTCAAGCTAAACGAAATTTCTTTCATCCTAAACCTGCTTCCAACACTAGTAGCACTGTACTAACCCTTCCCTTCATATCTGAACTCAAAACTTTTACCAATACCTTTCGTCCTCTTGACATTAAACTCGCCTTTCGACAAACTAACACACTTCGTAGCAATCTAGTTCACACTGCTCCTCCTGCTTCTAATGCTGCTGGTGTCTACTCTATTTCCTGTTCGTCTTGTCCTCTCCAATACTTTGGCGAAGCTGGCCGTACACTGAATGACAGACTTAAAGAACACAAGAGAAGTGTTAAGTCTGCAGACACTAACAATGCTCTCTTCTGTCATGTGAGGGATTCCAATCATCCTATTGATTGGTCTTCTAAAATAATCTTTCCTGCCTCTACTCTACACAGACGCCGTCTTGCTGACTCTGCTCTGATACACAACCTTGTCAACATGAACTTGAGTCCTGGCTTTGTTGCTGTGGACTCTTCCCTTTCACAGTATATACTCAAATGCTTTAATCTTTCTAACAAACGTGACCTAACATAAGCTTACCCTTCCTTTTATCTTTCTTGTTCTGTCTCTGGTTTCTTGTACGTTCCCTTTTGCCATCTCTGACATCAAAACTATTGATTTTTTGTCAAAACTTTAATGAAAATTATCAATATTTTGCCGCCTTTGTCATGAATATTCACCACCACCTTGCCACCCGTGTCATGACCCCTGGGGAGGTGTGGCCACCTCGGGCTGGTGGCTGGGGGTTATCCACCCACCACCACCACCACCACCACCACAACCATCACCACCACCACCACCACAACCACCACCACAACCATCACCACCACCACAACCACCACCACAACCATCACCACCACCACAACCACCACCACAACCACCACC